TCAAAAACATTCTTTGATTTCTCTAATAATCAAGAGATAAAAGCGGATAGGTACAACATGAAAATAATATAAATCACAGTTTGTCCAAAATTAATTCAAGCCAAGTTTAAGTCAATAAAGCGACCGTGCTAGAACCACGGGACTCGGGGAATGCCTTATACCTTCTCCCCGGTCAACAGAATTCCTTATCCGAACTTTGTTTTCGCGGACCGATAAAAATAGAGTCAAACCTTCCTTTGACTAGGGATTCAAATAAATGGTGACTTGGAACACCGAAAAAATCAATTCCAAGTGGCGACTCTGAACAATAAAATAATCCCTACTCAAGTTTTTGTCACTTTAATTGGAAAAACTCTTTAACCCATACATACATATATTTCGGGGATAGGTGGGAAGAAGGGGTGTGACACCTAATATATACAATCTTTCAAAAAGGACTCGGCCTGCAAAAAAAAAAAAAAAGAAAACCTTATTGCTTCAAAATTTTTGTATGCAATGGAGTATTTACAAACATGTACCGTATTCACTTGTTCTATTAGTGGAAAATAAATAATTAAAATTCTAGTAGTATTCTGGAGTTACTGTACAATTTTTAATTGGTACAATGATAACGATAGTCCATCTCAGATGAATTAACTCCATCATTCAAATATATATGACAAAATGGATTACAATCCAACCGCATATGATTAAGGACTTATAATGCTCTTTGCTTAAAGCTGTATATGTAATAAACAGTTCACTAAATAATAGAGTTCGAACCCAGTAAATTAAATGAGGTTTCGTAAAATACTAAATCCGGACCCGTAATATTCAAATCCTTCATCTCCCTCCGAAGGATACTAAAAAGGAATTAATTAATAAAAGGAAAAACAAAATACAGAGAACATGAAGGATTTTACACCTGCATGGACCATAAATAGAAGAAAATCTTGTAATTTATCAAACTTTTAACCACAGATTCTTGGAACAGTCCAAATTTGTGGCTTTGACATCCTTTCATCAGCAGGTAAAGCCATAAACTTTTTCCAATCATCAATGGCCATAGTTAGGTCATGTATTTTATTTTCAAGTCCTATACAACAATTTGCATGCATTGTGCAAACAAAATTGAGATCTTTACTAGGCTCACAAAATCCCCCAAAAAGAGCAGTGTCCAAAAACCTTATTTTCAATCCAATTTCTTTAACAAAAGGGTCGTGTTTTATCATGTTGAGTACATCTTGATCCATTTTTCCTGGATGAGCCTCTCTTGCATCATACCAAAACTTGTAAAATTGGATGCTACGATTATTTGATTTCACAAAATTGAAACCTCCATTCGGTGAGTTGTCCAAATCAAAAGAATCATACCAATAATGGTCGCAAGCTATTTGGAAATCAGTGTCAGGATAAAAATGTGCAAATGGTTGTCGAAACCACAATATATCAGCATCCTGAAGACACATGGAAAAAAAAATAAAATTACAATATATAGCTAGAAATATAAGGGATGAAATAGTGATTACTAGACACCACTTTGAAAATCACATTCTAAGAATGAGGATATATATCATGAATTTTTTTCAAATATTCTAATGCACACTGAAAATGAGAAAATGGATGGAGAAGTATTTTGGGTGTATTTGGTACGACAAAAATCATTTTCCAGTAAAATATTTTTCATAATAAGGAAACTACGTTATGTTGTTTGATTAACAAAAAAAGTTTTCAAGCGAAATATTTTCCATCACACAAGAGAGAAAATAACTTCCCTTACCGATGGACGAGAGTCATTTTCCTTAGAAACTTCTTAATATCATGACATTATTATCAACTATCTCTCTTTCATACCTAAATATTTTATTATAACACAAACCGATTTGCTAACATTTTTATTATATATTATACAAAATATTTTCCACCCACAAATCAAACATTAAATAAACGGAATTTATTTTATGGAACATGACTCCCATTATACCAAATATAGAGTGAAGGATGAGTACCGTGAAAATAAAGTTATATCCCGTCTGGAGAACAGTACGCAGAAAATCAATCCTTCTCCAAATCATCTTCAAATAATCATCGCTCAAAAAATACGCCTCACCGGAGAAATCAACGCCTTCTGTAGTCAGAGCATAGCAGTGAAGGTAGTGTTTTTCCAAGCAACGAGAATACGCAGTTTGATCCAAAGCTACAACTAAAACATGTTTCAACAAAGGTTTCGTTTGGTTCCCAATAGTAAAGCTTTCCAAGAAAACATCAAATATGGAGTTTGGAGCTGTCCATGCTGCATTTAACGTTGTTATTATCACTGTTTTGTCTTCCATCGCTGCTTTTTCTAACACTTCCTCTAACTTCTTCGTGTCCTCAAAATGTACATAAATTTGTTATTACTACATCATTTATATATATAAATTATTTTTCTCATAGTTTAATCAATACGTCAAATTGATAGGTTCTAGACTTATCATAGAACTTCTAATTTTTTCATTTATTTATTATTACTATCATTTATATATATATAAATTATTTTTTACTTCTATCTTATTGTTTGGTTAAAATTTTCCGGACTGAGTTATAGTTAGTATTTTTGACTCTATAGGAATAGAATTACGGTACACAAGAGAGCAGCTGGTTGGTTTTTACTTTTTATGCCGTTAAGAAAGAAAGGAACTAATTCCTCTTAAATTAAAAGTTTGGGTGTAGAGTTAGTATTTAATAAACAGCTAGACAGAGAGAATGCTTTATTTAGTTATTTATTTATTTATTTGTTAATCTTTTGCATATATTTGAGAAAGTCAATTATGAAATATCCTCTAGATGAAATTCTACTAGAGCTTACGTTTTTCTTTCCCCTAATTTATTGTCAAACCTTATGCATAATTAATTACTTTGGTGCCTTAATTATATAGGGAGCATCTTGAATATTAGCAACTTAGATCACATTGAAAAGTCTAATTTCCTACATATATTATTCTTCTTAGAGAAAGCGTGAAAGATTATCATTCTTAGAAGACATCTTTTGTGACTCGTTGAAGAGTAGAATAGTATTTGGCAGATTTAACAGATGTGACATTTATACTTGAAACAAAAAAAAACAATTTGCCTAAAAAGTCTCACTTTAATTTTCGAAACGTCTGATTTCGTCAGATTACATTCAATTATACCCAATAATATATATGAAATAATAAAATGAATCGGAATTCATGATAAATATTTTTCTAAATGTAGGACATTGTCAACCATAGAAGTAGATATATAAAGAGTGAATAATCAGTAAATAGTAAAGAATTTAAGGATGACAATTGAAGGTTAAGACTGCTCCGGTTATAATTAACCTGGGTTCAACTTATCTGTTGCTTGTTTGATCTTTGAAAGTTTCTGAATCTTTTGTTGGACCTCATGATTGTATGAGTTTTATTCAACAAGTTTTACTTTTTTTTTTTTTTTTTTCAGAAGAGGTTTTGTCACTGCAGAAGTGTTTGAGATTGTTCTTCAATTGAAAAATATTAATTCTTCATTCACTTACAAAACACTCAAAAATCTCCAAAAAAGAGAAAATTAGGAGAAACTGCAACTAAGTATCCAAAAACATCTTTTCCCACAAACTTTTTTCTTAATATGAAAAAGATTCTGGTGAAGAATGGAAAATTAAAATTAAATAAAAGAAGGATTAATTTATACAGGCGGACGGTGTACAATTTTTTCATGCTATATATCACTATATTTTATGTTGTTATAACATGTAAGACATGCCTTACTAATTTCCATCTTACTAGTGTATAGATCGGTATTTAAAATTATCTTTTAGATAACGTTAATTTTTTTTTTTACATTACTAATTAATGTATAGAAGTTAAACTCAAAAGAAGAACAAACTCGTACGTGCATGGGAAAGAATTAATGAAACTTACTGTTAAAGGCTGGGTTCTTTGTGCAGAAACATTGGCAGTATCAAGTAAATTTCCAGCAATGGATGACGGAGTTGTGTTTCCAGGCTTGTAGGAGGAGTTGGTAAAGAATTGAAGAGGATAAGAAGAAGAGTGATAAAGAAGGAGAATTGAAAGAGCAACTGCCGAGAATAATACAAGTATTTTGACAACATTACGTGAAGAAAATTGTTGGTATTGGGGGCCATCGCCTAAATTTTTGTTGCTTCCTCCTTCTAAATCTCCCATTTTTTATGAATGTTTAATTCTTGGCTATACTATTCCCCTTAATTCTCTCATTTAAATAAACTTGGATGTGTCTTCCCTTACTTGCTAACATGTCCAAGTCAACTCTCACTTATTCTCTTTATGAGTAAATAATTAAGCTTAGTCATCCTTTCCTTTCCTTTTTTTCTTTATGGTGCCATTGGACATTTTGCGTGCATCTCGTCCAATTCTCTATATATATAGTATCTCTTTCACAAGCAGGTCACGATTAACTCTACTCATGCTCAGACAAATGAAAAGAAATCACTATCTACAAAACACATGCATCAAACCAACTTCCCAAACAATTTTTAACCATACTATATTAGAGTGAAACTTTAAAATTGGATTTTTTCAAAATATTTTGATCCGTGGATCGGAATTCGCTTTAACAAGATTTTAACCGATTGAAAGCTCCTCCACAATATTTTGATCCGTGGATTGGAATTCGCTTTATCAAAATATGTCGAAGCTCTGTTAGTATTACATAAAAACAAATACAAGACAAGTTGCTAACGATAAATATATTTGTACGGCTGAAGAGCGAAAAGTATAACATAGAATATATAACGGTAAAATATATATAGTTGAAACTCGTACGCAGATGATAAATTTGATCTTTCTCCGATACAAAATAACAAAAGTATTATACATTTTGTCCTCTTTCTATAGTTCATATTGATCCGATATAACTATTAAGTGGGAATTAAAGCTCTGAATTTAGTAGTATTTCGTCTGGGGAGTATATGTCGCTGTTGACTTTTAATTTTTCCAAATATAAAAAATAAACAGGTACAGATAAAAATTGTATAAAAGAGGGTTTGTAAGACACGTTTCACCTATTCATTTGTATTTAAGATGTGTTACCAAATCTTTTACTAGAAATAGACACCATTTTGCAGCTGATTGGTTTTATTATTTTTGTAATTATCATTATTATTGTTAGGAAAAATGGAGCATTTACAACAGCTCAGACACGGTCATGGTCATAGAATAAAGTGGTTCAATGAATCCATTTTTCAAGTTTTTATTTAAATTTGTGACATTTGTTCTATTTAAATATTAAAGGTTCAAAATCATTTAGCCAAGTAATGTCATAATTATGGTTAATTATAAGGTATACGTTACCATTATTCTGCCAAGAAATACTTTCTAGTTTTAGTAGGAATTGCGAAATTTTCATCTCCTAAAGTATTAGTCCATTAAAGTATTGCCTGAAAATAGAGAAATACTGATTTTATGTTAACCCAGATGTGTCTCCGGCCCAATTTGATAAAGGAAAGCAGCATGCCCATTATGAGACGCAGCCCGGATTCTTTGTATTTTTAGCTAGTCTGTACATATCTTTTCTTATTTTCAGTTCAATTGGTTCACATTTGTACATGTATATAGAGGACCACATTTGTAAATAATAAGACAGATTGGTCAAAACAGATCTAACTGACTCATTCTCTCATTCGTCTCTCTCTTCTCCTCTCTTTCTTCTAGGGTTTTCTTTCTCTTTAATCCACCATAGCTCGCACAAATTTCAAATTAACATGGTATTAGAGCGGCAATCTCGTTTTCTCTCGTTGTGAGCTTTACTCCGATGGTATTCTTCCTCAAAAACTCTGTCAGTTTTGGTACTTGTTCGGTATCCACAGCGGACCTGCCGACCTTCGATTTTAGCCGATAAAAATTGGGGATGTCTTCAGTTCTGACTTCGGACAACTCATTCCAGTGGGAATTTTCGATTGCTCAAAGATTATTTCGTGGGTTCAATCATTTTTTAGGGTTTGTGTGCTCTCAAGACCTTACTTCCTCGGGTTCTAGAAGAAGGCTGGTAACATCTTTTTAGTCTATATTCATCGAGATTGTGTAGATTCTGGCTTGCATGCAATTGATATTTTGTTAGTGCAAGCACCTAATTTTTGCCTTACATGGGAAATTAGTCCTAAAAATAATCCAAAAATAATTTTTAATCGTTTTTATAAATTTTAGAAGTTCTTCTTTTTTGTTTTGCATTTATTCGCATTGTTATGCATGTTAAGAATATCGTAAATCAAAGAAAATCATAAAAAAATGTCCAAGTTTTCTTCGCATAGCATTTTAGATTTTATTTGCATTTTTTAGGATTTAATTATATTTATTAGTTGCATTATTAAATGAAAAATCACAAAATACAAGGATCAAGTTTGTATTTTTTGGTTTTTAGTTTTTAATAACTTCCTTTAATTAGTTTTAGTTAGTTAAATTATGGTTTAATTTTGAAATTGATTTTAGGTTAGGATTTTTAATAAAAAAAAAGAGGAAAAGAAACAAAGAAAGAAAGAGGGGAAAGGTTATTGTGGATCTAATTCGGACTCCGCCAATTTTTCTTGGCCCAAATGCCTTAACACTCACCCTAACCCACTGCCAGGCCCAATTACTACCAAACCTAATCCAGTCCAATACCCATCTCCCCATTCATTAAAACAAGAGAAATTTTCATAAATCACTATCTTTTAGTGGTTATTAGCTATCTATAGATACCATTTGCTATATTACGGATTGTAGATACATTTTCTATTGCTATAAGATGTATTAGATGTATTTAAGCTACTGTATTCATGAATACAGTAGCAAAAATAGACGTGAATCAGGGAAGTCCAGCTAATCAGTTGTTGTATTCGAGTGTATTCGACTGTATTCATGTAACGACCCGACTGGTCGTTTTGAGCTCTAGCGCGTCATTCGGTAGTTTGAGGCCATGAGCAGCTTCACTTCAGGTATCATGACTCATACGCATGGTCGAGATTGAAATTCGAGAAGTTCAGAGTAAATTTTGAATGAGAATTCTCATTTCGGAAGCATTAAGTTGGAAGAATCTGACTAAGGGTTGATTTTGAGTAAATGACCTCGAAATCAGGATTTGAAGGTCCCAACAGGTTCGTATGATGATTTCGGACTTGGGCGTATGTCCGGATCGGGTTTTGGAAGACTCAGGAAAGTTTCGGCACCTATTGTGGAAGTTAGCATTTTGGAAGAATTTCATAAGTTTGGGTTGAAGTGCATTTCAATGTTATCAATGTCCGTTTGGGATTCCGAGTCTGGGAATAGCTCCGTATGGTGATTCTGGTGTTGGGAGCGCGATCGGAAGTGAATTCGGAGGTCCGTGGGTCATTTTGGAGTCATTTGGCTAAAGATAGAAATTTGAAGGTTTTTGAGAAGTTTGACCGGAAGTGGACTTTTTGATATCGGGTCGGAATCCAATTCCGGAAGTTGGGGTAGGTCCTTAATGTTGAATGTGACTCGTGTGCAAAATTTGAGATCAATCGAACGTGATTTGATAGGTTTCGGCATCGAATATAGAAGTTTGAAATTCTAAAGTTCATTAAGCTTGGATTGGAGTGCGATTCATGGTTTTAGCGTTGTTTGACGTGATTTGAGGCTTCGAGCACGTCCGTGTTATGTTAGGGGACTAAGTTGTGTGATTGGACGGGGCCCCGGGGGACTCAGATGTGTTTCAGGGTGGTTTTGGAGCATTTCGGGCTGTGTTGGAACTGATGATGCTGGTGTTTGGTGTTGTTCTTCGCGTCCGCGAGGGTCCTCTCGCGTTCGCGGAGAAGGATTTGGCTTCTGGGATTTTGTTCGTCGCGTTCGCGAAGCAGAAGAATTTCTGTTGCGCAGGTCTTGCTTTAGAGGCTCATATCTCATAATCTACAAGGAATTTGGAGATGATCCAAAAATAAAAGTTGTAGCTGTTTGTGTCTAGTTTTTCAGAAAGGTAAACCATTTCGAATTTGTTTTTGTGTACGAAAAGTTATGGCTGGTACGCTAGAGGCTGTCTGGGAAGATGAAGAAGAAATTTGTGTTGCACAGGGCTGACTTTGGCAACTTATATCTAAACATATATAAGGAATTGGGAAATTCACAAAACATGAAAGTTGTAGATCTTGGTGTCTAGTTTTCAAAATATTAAACCATTTGTCATTTGGAGTTTTGTACAAAATGTTATGGCCATTGTACTAGAGGCTATCTGAAAAGAGTTTGAAAAATGGTTTTTGAGAATTTTCTTCTTCGCGAACGCGACGTGGGTCTCGGAAACGCGAAGAAGAGTAGTTTGGGCAGTGTTTAAGTATAAAGAAATGGGGTTGGCTCATTTCATCTCATTTCCTCCATCGGAGCCGACCTAGGAGTGATTTTGGAGCTCCATTTTCATCATCCATGTCAAGGTAAGTGATTCCCACCTATTGGAAGTTAATTACTTGGATTATATCTAGATTTTAACATGGAAAATCATGGGAAATTAGTGAAAATTAGGATTTTGAAGAAAAACCTAAAAATCTGGTATTCTTGGATTTTGACCACGATTAGGGCACGAAATTGGGAGTAAATTATATATTTGAGTTCGTGAGGTTATGGGTAGACTTTATCTTTGAAAATTTTTAGAATCTGGGCACGTGGGCCTGAGGAAAATTTTGTCAGCTTTTCGATCAGGGTTAGGAATTGTTATAAATTGGATTATAATGAGTAATTGATCATATATTAATGGATTTGCATAATTATTGGCTATTTTTGGAGCGTTGTTCATCAATTTGAGTCTTTGGAAGGGTGTGGAATGCCGGTTATGTAACTTCGGATCGAGGTGAGTCTCCTTTCTAACCTTGTAAGAGGGAATTGTCCCATAGGTGAGTTAATTGGTTATGTGCTCCTATTTGTGGGGGCTACATACGCACGACGTGACGAGAGTCCGTGCGTAGCTACTATTATTCTTAAGTCCGGGTAGTTTAGGGCCCAAAATCATGCTTTACTTGTAATATTTGCAACCTTGTTGACAAATTTAAAAATGCTTAAAACATATCGAACGTGTAAATGAATTCTAAAAGGCTAGATATCATTTCTTGGTTTTTAAAAGAGAAACTTGCCTTTTCCTGAATAATTGCTCCTTGATGAATTATTGATTTGACTGTTTGAATGTGTTTGTCTATTGTGGAACGGGCCGAATGCCTCGGTAGATTAAATAGATGCATCTATGGTTTCCGCCATTCGACCCTCTGGCAGTGCACAGTTTAAATATTGTTGGATCG